TCCTTAGAGGCTCTAGTTCCGTGATTAAGTTCCGGTTTTTGGCGATGTATAAGTAAGGACTCCTTATATAACAATAATGACCAATGTCTAGATTTATCTAAAATAACACAGTTTTGGTATATGATGGCTTCTGTGGTATGTGGATCAAATTGAGCAAGTAGTGTGTTGGGTAGGTTTAGTAGAGTCTGATAATATTGGAAGTGTTCACATGACATAATATGTTTGTGAACTTCTGAGTTTTTGTCGGAGGAGTGTTCTTTAATCCTTGTTCTGAGGCAGCGGTCAGTTTTTTCTGAGGCAGCGGTCAGTTTTTCCGATGTACGGTAATTGACAACCAGGACAGCTAAATTTGTATACAACACTACTTTGGAGCTCTTTATCCGTTCGGTCTTTTAGGCTAAGATAGTCGAAACGTTGAATAAAATGTTAACTATATTCGGAGTGTCTATTGTTTTGTTCTTTTTAAAATTCCCAATGACCAATGTTAATATGATAGGTTAGTGGTAAAAACCTATTGTTTATACTGCTTGGAAGATAATATATGTGATAATACGGAATAGGAAGTTGTTTAAAAGAAAGCAACAGAAACGCACTAAGGTGACTAAGCCTTTGCTTTGTGTTTCATTGCATTAATATTTGTTACCGTTCCGGATTTGAGTGTTAAATTGGTTTTATATTTTTTAAAAAGCATATACTTTACAATTGATTTTATCAATTGATTAATGCAGGATTTCGCAATATTTTATGACAACCCTGCAGCGATGACGATACGTATATAGGCATATTCGTTTTCTCGTTGTAAGCGGATCACTGTAACACTGATGTGTGCATGCATACTGAGCCATAAACCAAATTCCTGGCTTATCGCGTTTTTTACACTATACATGTTGGTTGTATGCATTTTAAGCTAACATAATCAGTAACTGGCCCCATTATTTAATGAAGGACGTCGGTGAAGGTTTATATCGTTTATTTAGGATTTTCTCACCATGAAAGTGTTCAACCGATATATAAGGAAGCACTCGTTAAATATAAAGATATAGGCTACATGCAAGCTTCAGTGAAGCTAGCAAGTAGCAATGCCAAACTGTATACGCGCAATCGCTCAATGCCAAAGTATACTTTCATACTGGGTTCATTGAAGAACGAGGCATGATGAGAATATATATATATTGTATCATGATGCATGAATATTCTATACAACCGTATAGAATATTCACTGATATGGCTTATTTAGGATTTTATCACCATACAAGTGTTTAACCGATATATAAGGGAGCACTCGTTAAATGATAAAGACATACATGCAAGCTTCAGTGAAGCCAGCAATGGCAAACTGTATACGCGCAATCGCTCAATGCCAAAGTATACTTGCAGAGTGGTTTTTGAAGAACGAGGCATGATCAGAATATATATATATATTGTATGATGCATGAATATTCTTTACAATCGTATAGAATATTCACTGATATGGCTTATTTAGGATTTTATCCCCATGCATGCAAGTGTTTAAGCACTCGGTAAATATAAAGATATATACAAGCTTCAGTGAAGCTAGCAATACCAAACTGTATACGCGCAATCCGGCGTTATACATGCAAGCTTCAGTGAATCTAGCAATGCCAAATTGTATACGCGCAATCGCTCAATGCCAAAGTATACTTGCAGAGTGGTTTTTGAAGAACGAGGCATGATCACAATATATAGATATATATCGTTTGATGCATGAATATTCTATACAGTCGTATAGAATATTCACTGATATGACTTTATATAAAGATACCAAATTCAATAAAGCAAAAAATGCCGAAGTATAAGTATACTTGTAGACTGCATTTTTGAAGAACAGGCATGAATATATATTACGGCAGGGCTTACAGGAAAGGTAAATTCAGAAGATATGATACCCGATACTATTTTTGCCTTTTTACGACTCGTCGGTAAATATAAAGATATACAAGCTTCAGTGAAGTAGCAATGCCAAATTGTATACGCGCAATCGCTCAATGCCAAAGTATACTTGCAGAGTGGTTTTTGAAGAACGAGGCATGATCACAATATATATATATATATATATATATATATATATATATATATATATATATATATATATATATATTGTATGATGCATGAATATTCTATACAACCGTATAGATATATATATATTGTATGATGCATGAATATTCTATACAACCGTATAGAATATTTACTGACATGGCTTATTTAGGATTTTATCACCAGACATGCAAGTGTTTAACCGATATATAAAGGAGCACTCGGGAAATATAAAGATATACAAGCTTCAGTGAAGCTAGAGTGAAGCTAGCAATGCCAAACATACTGCATACGCACAATCGCTCAATGCTAATTGTAGACTGCATTTTTGAAGAACAGGCATCAATATATATTACGGCAGGGATTATACAGGAAAGGTAAATTCAGAAGATATGATACCCGATACTATTTTTGCCTTTTTACGACTCGTCACGAAATTCGTGAACCACATCAGCACAACATCATATGAATACTAGGCATTGCAAACTTCATGTAAGCAAGTTTGTAAATTCAGAAGAGATGATACCCGGTACTATTTTTGCGTTTTTAAGACTCGTGACGAAATTCGTGACGAGTTATATCGACTTGTACCTTGCGATGGATTTCACGACTCGTGACAACTTGTAACGAGTCGTGAAATGCGGGAGTATTGGACATGTATGATTATATCCAGAATACGACATTTTACAAACCTAGATTCCTTAAAACTGATCTATTGCGCATTGGTCTATCTATATCTTATATACTGTAATTTAGTTTGGGGTAACGTTTACAAATCCAACATTCAAAAATTAGTAAATATCCAGAAAAAAGATAGTAAGATTAATGACCTTCAAATCCTATTTTGACCATACTGAACCAATTTTTAATGACCTTAAAATACTAAACTTGTATAAATTGAATGATTTCTTAACAAGTCTATTTATGTTCCGATATTTTCATCTACAAAATCTTCCAGAAATTTTTGATAAATATTTTTTAACTAACAAAAAAATCCATAATTACAACACATGCGAGAAACGCATCATTGCTTCACAAAAATTGTACTAGAACAAATTATAAAAAACACACGCTCGGTAATAACGGCATCGATGTGTAGAATAATCTTCCGACGCAATATAAGCAAATTAGATCTCTTCCAATATTTAACTCTACAATGAAAATATATTTTCTTCTGTCAAATTGAAATAAGTAGAATTCTTGGCACAAAGTGAAAAGCCAAATAGTTGTTATAGTCTCATAGTCTGATATATATTTTACGCACTTTCCTTATTGTAAATATATCACCGTTATTCCTTTGAAAACAATTGGACTGGTATTAACTTTTAATATTATATTATTTGCATTGTAACTAGGGACCTTAAACAAAAGCCTTATGGTTTCTAAAAGGTTCCTAGCCCTACAATTGTAAATATTTTCTATTTAAATTGTTAATTTTATAAACTGATTTGGGCGAATATATTAAATAAAAATAAATAAATATATTTCTTGATTATTGATTAACTTATTTGGTGGTCTCTGGATGTTATTTCTTTTGTTCACCTGGGGAAAATCCTTCCAACAATCGAAAATGGATGGAATGGGCTTCTGGGTTCAGACGTGAGCGTTTGCTAAAAGGATGGTGCTCAATACCTTCGCTTTTGAAGTGCTCTAAACATACAGTGGTGTGGTCATTTACATATATTAAGAATGCAGTAGGGACCATATACATTACAGTTTACACTTTGGTATATATACTGTACTTAAGTTAAATAATTCAAGTGTTTTATAGTATACAATGCACATAGTGTTTTATAGCAAATTGACAATGCTCCTCTTTGTCTATATATTCACTCATTTATAGTCAGGCCAAAACGAAACATATAGGAGATTTTCATTTTAGTTTCATCTGATGATGGAGATATTTATAAAATTAGAAATCTCCGGCATATTTAAAAATATACTCAGCCCAGAAAAAGGTATTCATGCTTGGACATATAATATTAATGACAATAAAATCTCTAAAATAAATGAAAATAAATCTAAAATACCTTAATAAAATATTTATTTTCATCTCGCCTAATATTCACAAGCCACTTTCGTTTGAGTTTGCTGTCAACGGGGAATTTATGGTAAGATATTTTCTTCTTCGTATCAAAATTATAGCAGTTTCCAGTGGCTTTGCAATGTTGCACGGCACAAACACGATGGTTAGACTATTGAATTTTAATAAAATACAAAAAAAATTTAAAATACGAAGCCGTGGACTTTTAAAATCGGCCACAAACCAAATACGACTTGTTTTTGTCGTCGTATCTGTAGCCATGACGGCTTTGTTGTACGGCCACATTTATAATGTAAGAAATGGATATATCTTGCAAATATCGTCGTATAATTAAATGAAAACATCATATCTTGCTCACAAACATGAAAAATGTAATAAATTATATACAACTTACCATTTTTGCGGGATTTTTCTTCATCAAAACAAACAAAGCGGAAGCGGAAGAAGTGCAAACCAATTTAGCGCTTATCCGCATTTGACGTCACAAAATAATTTATTCTTGCTGACGCCAGAATTTTAAGAAAGGTCTATTGCCCCTGATAAACTTGTTATCGAAGGTGCAGAAAGTGATTTAATATCATTAATTATTCTAAATTTGCAGTGTAATCCTATTTAACAACATACTGAAATAATTGACCATATAGCACCGTCCTGCTAGAAGTAATCCATTTTTTTATATAAAAGATATCACACGTGTAACAGTATACATCACAAGTAACCTATACGTAACCGTTTCGAAACTGCGATATATTGGAAATGATAATATAATTTTGTTTTTCATCCGCTTGTAGGGAGAGTACTCAATTCTGAAAAAATATACCAAAACATAGATGACGACAATGTTGAGTTCGCATGCCCGGTCGGCTTTGTTCCAATCTTCATTGACGAAGCACTCGCTGATATGGAACCGAGTTTAAGGGCGGAAGCTGAACGAGTTTGTGGTGATGACATCTCGTGTCTCTTTGACATCGCGGCAACAAAGGACGTTTCAATTGGTGAATCAACATTATCAGAAATCACTACCATAAACAATGAAATATTGCAAGTGGGTATGTATCTCCTCTTATTATGGTACCATGTCGACTTTGATAGTCAGATATTCATCCTTTTTATAAGGTCGTTTCTCCGCAATTAGATATTGATAAGAGATATAGCTAAATGAAATAAAATTGCATTCTGTGTACTATACGATTCACAAAGCTCATGAAGCATGAAGCATGAAGAAGTTGGAAAGATATAACTGAGGAGCTAGCATCCAAAACAAAAAATAGAAAACCGAAGTAAAATAAAGGAATTTTTTTAACATGAGTGTTCGAATGTTGCCAAATGATTAGAAGTGATTTTAATAAAAAAATAAGAATACATGAGCGTTGTTTTTGAAACCGTTGGTTAAACCTGAGTAATATCATGCAGCATATTATTAAATTCGTAATACTAGCACTTCAGTCACCACACATACATCATACTATATAAATCAGAACGCCCGTCCGTATGTCTGTGAAATGATCGAAACATGTATACTAAATTTTGGCGATATAATGAACCACATATATTTCCTGGCGTTTTCACACTGACTCTTTCGTTGTTTTAGTGCTCCTTATTTCCTCTCATATAAATAGCTTACGGCACAAGCGAATAGTTTTCTCACTTTGCAAGAATTGTATACTTCAATTACGGTAACTTGGTAAGCGTCACAAACAGATGCAATATTTAACTACATGGACACAAAAGTATAGATACCTTTATATTGTCATGGCCTCAAAATTATTAATCGGCATCTAAAGTACAGGTATGGGTTTAAAAACCTTGGATACTTTATCCAAATAATGCAACTATTTGCATGATGACGCGTGCTCGGATGGCGTATTATCATACAGTATCAGTTAGAGAGTGTATTTAATAAAATTTGAAATTTCCTATAACTTAAATATCCTGTCGGCTGTCGCTATTACATGCCGCATCAATAACATTAACATGCAGAACATCATAATAATAAAAAATTATGCATTTTTAAATGATATATAGAAAACCGTCTTCCCATGTTTAACCAAAATTTAACCGTGATCAACGTGACGTTGGGAGTGACGTTCAACCTGGTGTTGGAGGCCGAAGATCCGGATGACGATGAAATAAAGTTTGATGTTCCTGCTCATCCACCTGGAGCAAGTTTTAGTTCTTCTGGAAATCAGTTAGTCTTTTCCTGGACTGTAAACTCCGCTGAGCCGGTATGTATACTGTTTATATGGTAGTTCAGTCGCAATGCTTATATAGACAAAAGATAATCACCAATAATAATTGAGAATTAACTACAAGCAACGTTCCTGGTTAATTTAACCACATAACCTGGTTAAATTAACCTGGAATCCTCGACTATGATCAAGTTAACCAGGATTGTGGCTAAATTAACAAGAAAATTATTTTAACCAAGAATATTAAGTTACCTCAAGCAGGGTAAATTTTAGATTAAATTAACCAGAAAATTTAAAATTTAACCATGCAGGATATTTTATAGAGTGTATAATTGTAATCGACTCACTTATAATATTTTACTTCATGACTATATGTAAATATATCGCCGAGTAACTACACATGTTTACTCCGATCTTACAGTACATAGAAATAATTCACTAAATTTAAGACTTTGCATGTATTACGCTCAATGTATATGTGTTTTGTTTTGACACATATACAACTCCGTCTTAAGTGGCAGTCTCCCTAACAGCGGTCCGTCGAACTTCGTATCAGAAAACCTATTTCTCTGAAACTTGGCACATCAAAAGGGTTTGGTACAGAACTAATAAAAATAGAATACTTTTTTGAAAAATATTTGTTTTCGCTTTCCTAGAAGCTCGAGCTTACTTGTGCCGAGCCAGTTCATTTGGTCATCTCTTTCAAGGCCGAAATTTCGCAATATTTTAGAACTGGACCGTATCAAAACTAAACGCGCTGGCAAAACGTTTTATTCGCCATTTGTTTGATTCATCTTTTCTTATGAAAACATACAAATGTCAAATTCACTGAATGCTTAGTTGATAAGATGTCAGCCTTGAAAGCCACCCCTGTGTGCAGGTTGCAGAAGTGCACTAAATTATAACAAAGTTCGGGAGCAAAATTCGCGTTTGTTTGACCAAAATTGGAACAAAAAATCACATCCATATGCAGATGATAACTTTATCTCCAAGGTTCTAAAGTCAAACCTTCGGGTATGCCGCTGTGTGCGAAGCACACAGCAAAAAATCATTTTCTTATTAAGAAAAAAAATTCTTAATTTAAGAAAAAATATCTTAAAATAAGAAAATAATTTTCTTAGTAAGAAAAAATTTTCTTGGAATAAAAAATTTCTGAATCCCAAGATATCTTTTTCTTAAAATAAGAAAATTTTTTCTTAATAGGAAAACATTTTCTTAAAATAAGAAAATACGATTTTCTTACTTTCTTAAAAAGAATACATTTTCTTAAAATAAGAAAATACGATTTTCTTACTTTAAGAATATGTTCGTAAGACAAGAAATGAAATTCTTAAAATACAAAATTATAAAATAGTATAGACATCATTACTTAAATTTTCGAAGCAAGAAAATGTAAAATGCTAGTGTTATAGGACAACTTATATCTTAACAAGACTTAGAACAACGTATATCTTATTGCGTCAGGTAAATTTGTAGTTTTTATTTCGAATTGAAGAGACTATATGACCGGCAGCTCACGGTTGATCAAACATATATATATATATATATATATATATATATATATATATATATATATATATATATATATATATATATATATATATATATATATATATATATATATATATATATATATATATATATATATATACTCACAAGATGAACACAGCAAAGTTTATCTTATACTCTTATATTATATATACCGGGTGGCCCAAAAAAAAGTACTCCTGTTTGATTCGTAATAACATCTAAACAAGTATAGCTTTTAAAGAGAAATAACTTGCATCAAATAGAGGAAGGACTAACTTAGACTTTGATATATTACAGTTGTATTTCACTTAAAAATTCACGGAGATATTAATCTTTAAATCCGGGAGGATATTTCTGGATGTGTCTGAAATATGCAAAAATCGGCGTATCAAATATTAATCAAGATTTGCCCGACTGAAACATGCACTATTACCAGTAAATAAATGACACTGGACAAATTGTTTATTATGAAACAAAGTATTATTATATCTACAAAATACAAGCAAGATTCATTCGTCCGAAATTCGCGTGTGTTCCTAGCACGAATACGTTTCCTTATTTCATGAGACCACCGCATCGCGAAGGATCGTCATTGGATCGTTCGTAGTTCTGAATTAGGGCATGCTGTCACAACGGAATTGTGAAGCTCTTCTAACTTCTGCAACGTTCTGGAATCTTGTTAAGAACACCCAAACTCTTTTGCCGTTTCTTAATCTTGGCAAGTTCATGGAGTAAACTGAGAATTATATGAAACACAATCAAACCATACAACTCCATAAGACATAACAATTAAGCAACTTCCCAGAGACATGCAACATTTTTGGAACAAAACGTAACAAAATAGTAGCGTTGATACGGTGATGTGTATTTGCAAAAAGCAATATTATTTCCTTCAATAAAGAATATTCATCCTGCTCTAACCGAGAAATAATCTACTCAGTCTGTTTGAACCCATTAAAAAACATAAAAAAATTAGGCTATTTAAGAATACGAAAAATTTAAGCGCCTGCCTTCCATGGTCAGTCTTTCATGTACATTTAAGTTTGCAAAGACCTAATATTAAATACTTGCATAATTTCGAACGTTCATATTTCAGGAAACAATGAGCTAAGACTTACATGTAAGATGTCTAAATCTACGCCATATCCCTTACAAACCTTAACGATAATTCGCTGAAATACAAGTTAGCCTAATATGTCATTAAGCAAACAAACGCTGGAGTTAATATTTGATATGCCGATTTTCGCCAATTTTAGACACATTCCAAAATATGCTCCCCATTTTTAACATTAATATATCCGTGAATTTTTAAGTTAAATACAACTGTAATATATCAAAATCTAAGTTAGTCCAT